CAACGATCCGTGGAGCTACGGCGTATCCGAATTTCGGGGAAAAAAAGCCAAGAAAAGTAAACCCTAGTGAGAGAAAGCAGAAGAATTGGAGAGAGAGAAAAAGGAGAGGAGCAGTAAAGAGAAGAAATCAACGTAAGGTAGAGGGGAGTAGTCTTGGAAGAGAGAGAATGGGGACTTTTGCTTGACAGCCTGTCGCCAGCCCATTTTCGTTGTATTGTATTTGTAAATTTTTTTGTTTTTGGCTCACTTGTCGCTGGTGGCAAACTACGTAATTAAGTAAGGCTGTGGAGGGGATTTCCACAATCAAGACAGTCTGTACACAGCTGGCATGGTTGTGGTCAACAAAGCCGGGAGGCTCGGGTGAAGTCCGAGCCTAGCTGGAATTGGCTGCTCTTATTTTTGGGTGGTGGGATGGGATAATCTGCATTGTCATCGTGCAAGTTGCGAGGATTCTCTGCCGTTGTTGCCAATTGGCAAATTTAAGTTAATCTCAGCCTTGCATTTTTATCTAGCCTTGTGAAAGTGGAGCCTACAAAATGCCAACTCAATCCACACCTACCATTGGTCCGCTCAAAATAATAATAATAATAATAATAATAATAATAATAATAGAGAGGTCCATTAATTTTGATTGAATTCTGAGTTTGTATTGAACTAATATTTAAAATATAATTATTAAAGTTGATGTGATGTTGAAATAAGAGAGATGATTGAAAATGATAGATAGCTAAAAATATATGAGTGATAAATAGTGAATTAAAGTTTACGTGATGTGTGAGATTTAATTTGTTTTATTTAATATACTGATAATATTAAGAAAAGTTAAGTTAGACTAAATTTTAGTTGATTTTTTAGTTAGAGTGAGTACAAAAATTAAGTCATTTATCAAAACTTGTTTTGTTCCTTTACCGATTCCTACCTTAATATCCAATTTAGTATTGTCACCCATACGAAATATAAAAAATATAGAATTAACAAACGAATTCAACTTTGAGTTAGAGAGATTGAAGAGCTTCTCTCACTAGGAATTCCCTAGCGCCCGCAATTCGTGAGTACAAAAGAAATCGATCTACTCTCAAGTGATTAATTACTACCCCGAGTCCATACAACTCTGAAATCATCAATTGTTAGAAAAAATCCTGCTTTTGGGAACAAGTTCCCTACGCTAAAGTGCGACAGGAAAGATTGAGAATTCACACCAATTCCATGAAAATCTGAGTGCTTTTGATGTTAGTTAGAATTGGATAATCCTACTACACATATCTGATTTAATTGGTGCTGCTATCTTTAACCACTGGAATGAAATTGAAGCTCACCGTGGCATAGCTACAATACGCAACCTATGGGGAAATCAAAGAAAAAGCTTCATTACCGGAAATTGATGGAGGAGGAGTGTTTCGGGCATTTCAATGACAATGAAGACGTCCTTCTTGAAGACTCGGAGGAAGAGCATCAAATTGAGGCCGAAACCGAAGCTTCAACTTCAACCCTCAAGGCCGACAAAAACGGAGGTTCTGGTGCAAATGAGGTAAGGATGGCTATCTCTAGCTCTTCTATACCGAATGATAGGCACAAGGTAGCTGAGGAGCGAGTCTTGGTTGATCAAACTTTAAAAGAGAAGAGCTCTACTAACTCCAAAAATGTTGTGCCAAAGGTGCTCGACAATATGACACAAAGAAAATCCGACTCATTAAAGAGGCCATTCTCGGTCCTCTTTGTCGTCAACCGTAAGGCCTCGCTAGGCCTCAAATTGGACTACATTCCGCCGGAATGGGGTGGACCTAGACGAAGAAGACTTATTGGACATAACGAGTGCTTGGGGATATTGCCTAGTCGGGTACTTTACCCATAGGCACCCGGGCAAGGAGGCTTTGTTGAACCTTTGTAACTCGTGGGGAGTTCGTTACGACTATGTTCCCAACGTCAATGGGTGGATTGTGTTTAAGTTCAAAAATGAAGAGGATAGAGCGAAAGTACTACACGGAGGGCCCTACACTATCTATGGTCGGGGGCTCATTCTCAAAGAGCTCCCTAACTGGTTCCAATTCGGGGAAGACGACATCAAAACCGTCCCCGTTTGGATCAACTTCCCCCTCCTACCCGGGGAATGTTGGCGAGTGTTCACACTAGGGGCGGTACCGTAATTACTTGGTTTGTTGCGTTCACACTTAAAGAGTTGGTTAATTACGGTACCGCCCCGAGTGTTCAAGCAGGACGAGGTCGTTTATATACTGCGAGTGTTCACACTAGGGGCGGTACCGTAATTACTTGGTTTGTTGCGTTCACACTTAAAGAGTTGGTTAATTACGGTACCGCCCCTAGTGTGAACACTCGCAGTATATGAGCACAACGGCTCTTAGCAAGATAGCTTCCTATGTCGGTAAACCCATCTCTACCGACAAGCTCACGACAACTCGAGCCCGGCACAATTATGCCCGGGTTTTAGTGGAACTCGACCTCTCAAAAGAAAGAGTCCTTAGCGTCCCCATCTCCTCAAAAGGGGAATTTCAATTTGACCAAAATGTGGAGTATGAATATGTTCCTTATTATTGCGACTTTTGCAAGTTCATCGGGCACTCTACTACAAATTGTGGGAAGTACAAATTACACCGTGAAAAGAAAAGCGAGGGCAAGAAAAAGATCGTGGAGGGCGAGACCATGGAAACCACCAATAAAGGGGTGGAAAACAAAGACAAGGAAAATCAACAAGCTAAAAAGGAAGGAGACAAAACTAAGGAGACGGGAGCACCGGGGACCCATGCCGAGGGCAAGAAACCGACAGGTGAACACCAACCTAAAGAAGTCAAGGAAAAAACCGTGCAACCTAAAGGAGGAGACACGGATGAACCCAAAGAGATGGAGGATTCAGAATATAACCAAAACAAATGGGAAGAAACTGTTAGAGTAGGGTACCCGGCGTTCCAATCTAATTGGACGTATTCTACTTGTAAATACAGTCTATTGGAATTATATTATGAATAAGGCATTTCTTTATCTTAAGAGAAAGCATTTATCTTATAAATACACTTAAGATAAAATCCCTAGATCACTTATGGTTATAAGGTATGGTTGCGCATAGAGATGGTGATCATGGAACATACCTTGAAAGCCGTGATCTTAAATACAGTTCCAAGTCGATGGATGTTTCGAGATGGGATATCGAATAATCCATAAAAGACTTGCACATAGTTTGTATGCTTGTTGGACAAGAATGTTGCATTCCATCAACATTAGCGTAAGACGTAAGTACATTTATGTGGGTGCTTGTTAGAGAACAAGTTCACTGAACATGACCGTATGAAAATTCTTAATGAAGAATTTATTCAGTCGAATAAGAATTTTCATGTTACAATAGTACATGACTAATCCTAAGACTTGAGGCACAATGGTAACTTTGTGCATATTACATTCTACTTTGATTTATCCTTTTGGTAGCTAGCACTATCGTATAAAGGGATATTTTGGGTATTATGTTAATATGTATGGAAGTTTGTTAGTGGCCAATAAAGGATTCGACACTTATGAAGATAAGTGAATTTCCTATGTGTTTCATAGTTATTAATCCAAAGTCCTTGGCCAAGGCAGAGATGAATAGTGATTCATAAACGGGTTAATAAACTTGAAATAGAATCATAGTTATTAAGTCAATTTGGGTTTCGACAAAATCATACCCAAGACTTAATCGGGAAATTAGATGTCGAAAGGATTTTACATGTATGGAGTTGTAATTGAAATAGGTTTACTCGCTATTCACTTAATACTAGATTCATGCTGCTTGCTAGGTGTTACCATGATATGTGGGTTCTAGAATTAAAGAGTTAATTCAAGAATAAGAGTTAATTAGATTTAACTCAAATTACAAAGTGTTGTAAACCCACTACTAGTATTAAGGTGAACCTAAAAGGTCACACTAATTATGAACAAAGGTAAAAATTGTATTTCTAATGGTTAGAATTAATTGACTTAATATCTAATTTGATTAGATGTCAATTAAAGGAAAATATTAATCAATAAGATTGATTAATTACATTTTGGATATTACTTTAGTAATTAAGGTAATTACTAAATTAATAAAGTTGAATTTTAAAATAGGATTTTAAATTTCAAAATCCAAAATAATAATAATATGATTATTATAATATGGATAAAAATTGGGAAAATGATATAATAATAAAGTCTTGAGAAAGATTCTCAAGATTTATTATTCAATTATTATTTATATCTTTAAATATGATTTAAGGATTAAAATAATAAATATGATTATAATAGATGGTTGGTAATGGTGGTTATGAACAACCAAACATAGATTATTATTTTCAAAGTCAATAGTTAGTAAACACTATTTAAATAAAATATGATTTTATTTAAATATTACTAAATATTGATTATTTTATGCTAAAATGTTTAGTATAAATAGATGCAAAATGTTTGCAAATTATGCTAAGTGATTTTGAGAGAAAATCAAAGAGAGAAGAAAGTGTTCTTCATATATTTCAAGAAAGTGTTCTTGATAATTCCCAAATTATATTTATATATATATTCCTATACAAGAAAACCGAGACATTTCTACTAGCGAAGAAAGGTCGTCGGAACCGGGCTTCATAGGGTGGATACGATTAGAGGGAAGACTTGGATTCCTAAAGCGAGTAACCTCAAGCCGTTGAAGTTACAACCGGGAACCGATTCCCACAATCCACATCTTTGTTGAAGGAGTTCAAGACACTCGGTAAATATTTCTACTGGTATTTACTTTAATATAACAAATCAAAATTTGTATATGATGCATGTTTTAAAGATGACGATCAGTTAATTCGCAATTAGTATGTACGGGTGTTGTATTTATACGATAAATACTTACTTTAAAAATTTTAAATTCCGCTGCGTACAGCCCGTACGGTACTAACGAACCCAACACAAGCAACCTCACCACTCAGCTAATTTTCAAAAGATGTTGGCACTTGCAAATCCAAGGAAAGCTCAAACATTTCCTCTGGAAATGCATCTCAGACATCCTCCCAGTAGCAGTGAACTTAAGGAAGAGAGGAGTGGATGTCAATCCCATATGCTCCATTTGTGGAGACCATCCAGAGACAGTAGAGCATTTACTGTTTTCATGCTCCAGAGCAGAAAGGATCTGGGACAAAGCTCATGTGCAATGGGATGGGCTCAAAAATCATACATACTCCTTTAGAGCTTGGTGGAACCAGATCAGTTCCATCAAACAGATGGAGATGGTGAAGGATAGGATCCAATTGTCCACCTACCTACTGTGGTGGCTTTGAAAATTCAGAAATCCTTGGGTGTTTAAAAAATCTCTGATGCCTGAGCACATAGTGATTGAAGCTGCTCACAAAGACTGGATTGAATTCTCTTCAGCTGCAGGTGTCTCCTCAGGCTGGGATGGTTAGGGGATTATGGTAGTTTGTTTCAGTTAGCTGCTTTTATTTTCCTTTTCAGTCTTTGGGGATTATGTATTCTAGCTAGGCCTTATGGCAGTGGAGAGATACATAGTTCTGTTTTTTCTTTGTTTTAGCCTTTGAGGTTCTAGGTACTTTCTATAGTACCTCTCATTTTTATTTTATTTTTATTCGGTAGGGCTTTGCCCCATGTATTCGGACTTTGTTCGCCACAGTTTTAGTAATA